GCTGCCAACACAGCAGCAAGGAGGAAAAAAAAAAAGATGGAGGAAGAGCTTTAAGGAGCCCAGTGCTTGTCTTTTTGTGAGCTACAACTGCATCTTTCTCATTTAGCTTCAGTTTGGCTTGAATGTCTGCTACTAACTCCTTGGAAGTAAATAAGATGTTCTGCAAAAATGTAACATCTGTCCATTAGAAGAAGTCTCCAGTCATGAGCTGCATGTTGAGTTTCTCCCCCTTTTTTTAAAATAACATTCACTTGAAACGTCCTCAGGCAGTTGGAATTTGTAGAAACATGTTACATTTTGAGTGTATGGCGTGTGTGCATGATGCTGATTTAAGGATTCCTGCATCTTCCAGGTGTATGTCCTGAAGCGGCCCCATGTTGACGAGTTTCTGAAGAGGATGGGGGAGCTGTTCGAATGTGTCCTCTTCACTGCCAGTTTAGCTAAGGTGAGAAACCACCTCATCGCAGCCAGCTGTGCTGATTATTAATGTATGGTTGGCTGATTCCCTGCAGTTGACAGCAATAAACTTGGAGGGAGCAGGGAAAAGCTGGATGTATTCAGGGAAGTTGTCTGTGAACAGTTTAATATTTTGGATCCTTTAAAATAGACTTGGGGCGTTATGAGAGAAATGAGAAGAGGTCATTTGAGCTGCTTCCTTATCTCCCGAGGGATAACACAGCAGGGGGAACCGCGTGTTTGATTTGGCACAGATTTCATACCGGATGCTCTTCCCGATGTAGCCTTCCCATTTTTCAGTGCTCTGAGACTTGCACTAGGCGCACACTACCTTGTGACCCCCCCCCCCCCCCCCCCCCCCCGAGGCTGGGTTTGTCTCGCTGGCCTCAACCAGGGTCTTCATGTGTGAGACCCGTTAGTAAAAAAAACCTTATTCTGATTGCGTTGGTTGCTAGCAGATTGCTGCAGTTGTCCATAGTTTGCATGGAAGACAGCAACTTGGCTGCAAACACTCTTGTTAATCATCAAGGTAGTATAACTTGGAGGTGCAACCCAAACTGAAAAGATTTGCCTTCAAAGTAAAACCTGATAAGCCAAAACTTGTAATTTCAAGGTCTCTGTTTATAGTTGCTATACAAACTATGGGCGACTGGCAATCTGCTCATAAACCAAGCAATTATAAGGTTTTCAGTGCAGGACTCTGATTGGCAGTTGCTGTTATTGATTTCACAGCAACCATTTTATTTTTATTGTTTCCCCTAGTGGCCACTGGTTATCAGGCAGTCTCATACCAGTCTCTAGGTCTGTGTGAATGTGTTAACCACGACACTGTGATGGTGGCAGTAAAAACTAATACTATAAACTGATACTAAAAACGGAAATCTCAGCTGTATCTACATAAAGATTTTGCTTTAAATTGAGCGTGCTTCTCCATCAGTATGCAGACCCAGTCTCCGATCTCCTGGACAAGTGGGGTGCTTTCCGCTGCCGCCTTTTCCGGGAGTCTTGCGTCTTTCATCGAGGGAATTATGTCAAGGATCTGAGTCGCCTGGGTCGTGACCTCAACAAAGTGATTATTGTGGATAACTCCCCTGCCTCCTACATCTTCCATCCTGACAATGCAGTAAGTCTTCTGGACAGCACTTAGGATCGTTCACCTGCTTAAGCAAGTTGCTTAAGCAAGTTCATAGTATTACCCTCAAGGTTGTGGTTGATTTTTTTTTTTTTTTTTGGGGGGGGGGTACAATTTCCCAATTTTGTAACTGTATTAAAACAAGTATTGCACTTTTATTGAAAGATGTAGTTTGGGGGACACTAAGCCCAATTTCAGTGTCCCACTCTTACTTGATTTATTGTTTAAATAAAAAAAGGCATCAAAGTAAATAAGATGAATAAGAAATTAGATTTCTAACTATATTTGTTGAATCTCCACAACGATATTGATGCTTATGTTTTTGTTCAGGTGCCTGTGGCCTCTTGGTTCGATGACATGTCCGACACAGAGCTGCTGGACCTCATCCCGTTCTTTGAGAGGCTGAGCAAAGTCGATAACGTCTACACAGTCCTCAAGCAACAAGGGACCTCAAGCTAACTTCGTTTGACTTTTTCATCTCAGCTCTGAACAAACCGGCGTACAAAAAAGCAAAAAAAAAATTAAAATTCCCCCAGAAACGCCGCACCAGCCAGGCTCCAGCTATCACTGCCCACCAGAACACAGACTGCTTCACAGCCGCCAGAGCCATCAAAGCAACCGTCCCACACACCAAACCAAGATCACCATGGGAGAGCCTTTGGTGACATTTTGACGGCATCGACACTGCCACCTCCTGGTCAGACAGCAAACTGTCTGCAAGTTGCCTTCCAAGAACCAGCTGATGTGAGTGAATGGACGAGAGGATGAATGAATGTTTAATGGCCTTTCTGCAGCCCCACTGGACTTTCAGTAGAGTAAACAAAGAAGAGGTCTGTAGCCACGATTCCTCTGGACCTGGGTACTGGACTTAGACTTCTCATGGATGTGATTTGGCAGCCTGATTGCACAAGACTTGCAGGAAGTTTCAGAAAGGTTTACGCTTCTTGATCTGTTGGATTGTTGAAAGGGCAGGTCGGAGGTATACGTACTGTAGATGTCTTTTAAGCATTTTGGTCAAGCGTTATGTTCTTCACAGCCTAATTTTATCACACTATCTGTCTCCAGTCAAAGGCATGTGATCCTCAGTTGTCATATTTTTAGAGCTTTTAGAGTGACGTGGTCAGGTTTTTAATAGTCATGAGTTATCAGTGTTATGAATGAATCTGATTTTTAAAAGGTTTCTTTTTTAAACTCAGCTGGCATTGCAAGCTCAGACACTATTACAAGTTGTTAAATGAATGAATAAAGTGATCGGACCACTTTAAAAGTAATCTAATCCCTTTTACCGCAGATTAAATTTATATGCTAAGCCCATCTTAAAAGATGAACACGTGGGCACGATTTTAAGTATTTTTACTGTCTGTGCAGCAGGTAAAGGAAATCAGTCAGATTCAGAGCACTGACTCGGGTCGTGACTGCATTATTTTATCAGAAACCTCACACTAATCTTTAAGTATCCATCTGCACTCGAAAGTGACAGAGCAGCTGTTAATGGATCTGGTAGATGTTAGCCTCTTGTTTTAAAGCCACACACAAACCTGAATTTGTCTTCTGTGTATTTACAGACTGTAATTGGATGGTTAAAAGAAAGTTTTGTGATGTTAAAAAGAAAAGACACCGGTGGATTTGTCATGATCTTCAAAGTACTTTTTCCTTTTTAAATTGTCTTTTAAGCGGTACACAGAGGCTGGAAACTATTTCTAAATTTATGTCATGAAATAGGTTTTGAGGAGGGGGGGGCTGCCGCGAGTATCCCAGTATATGGGAGGGCACATCTTTGAAAACAAAGTGTTTAATATAGCGCAGGTTTTAAAGGAGCTATCCACCCCAAAACGACTTAAACACTACAATAAACTGCTGTTAGTGATGCCTCATACTGGCTGTTTCCTTATGTTTTAAACCTGGCAGAGATCTGATACTGTGCAGGTTTTTGTGATGTTTTTGGAAGCATTGAAACGCCTGTGCAGCTACAGCAGATCTAAAGCTAAGTCTTTAAATGTCTGTTTTATTTTATTTTTTCCCCTTTTTTCTTTTACACAAAACTGCAGAATTTTTTGTATTTCTGCCTGCAGATAAAAACCTAGCAGGGTGCCACAGCTTGATGCTAGTCCGCTCATCAAAGTTACTAAGTGCATGCTGGGAATTGTAGGACTCACTGATTTTTGCAGTTTATCAGCAGTAACAAAGAGTGGAAAGTGTGAGATTATTTTGGGGTGGAGTCTTCCTTTTTTCTTGTGCACGTCTGTGTTGTGTATCTGTGTTGTGTATCTGTATTGTATTCTGCCCGCTCAGTTTTAAGGAGCAACGCAGTTTCTAACGGGCCTTGCAGATTGGTGCGATCGCCCTAGTTTGCGTTGACAATGTGTTGACACTGATGAATGAATGTGGTGGATTTGACTTGGCAGCCTCGATGGCAGGCTTGTGACGTGACTTCGCCTAGATGAGGAAGGGGTGATTAAATCTACCACCTTAAGAGCTATTATTACTTTTTAAAAAATGTTTAACAAATTATTGTCAATCAAGATTAGCCTGTTTCATTTCTAAATAATTAACTGATTTTTACTGCTGCCTTCTATTATTTTTTTATTTTTTTCCCCAAGAGTCATCTTCTTAAAGAATATTTACAGTAGGTTTTCCAAAACGGGAAGACATTGCTCTTGCTGTTTTCTTACAGGACCTGGTCGGTTGCCTCGCGTACAAGGAGGGAGAGAGGATTCAGAAACACCAGCAAATAACTAAAGAGATAGTATCTTACCATTGGAGGCACATAACAGGTTTAAAACAGTGTTTTCATGAAAGCCATCATCAAATTACTGATGCCGCGTGTGTTTTGGAATTCATTGGCAAAGACGAGTATTTATAGGAACGCTGAGTCATCTTGTTAATGGATTACATGTAAAACAGGTTGTGTCACTATGGGGGCCCATTCACTGATACTGTACTTCTTACACATTCAGTAGATATGTATATGTTGTTTTTGCACAGTAATAAAGCAAACGAATTTCATTAATATATGGAATATTCATGTTACTGTACTCATGATTCAATAGCTGTAACTTTTTCTTTTTTATTTTTTTTTTGTGACCTTTGTTTTATCATACCAAATTCTGTATGGACTGTATGTAATAATGCCCCCCATAAATGCTTAAGGAAACATGGTCTAAGGTGCTGTTCTGTTTTTGGGGGGAAAAAAGCAACACAAGCGGTACATTTTCAAGCCTGAGGAGGTGGGTTTGTTACATTTAGTCAGACAAACAAAAAAAAAAAGCCAGATGTTAAGAGAGGGGGGAGGGGGCAACAAAGACCTGACACCGGACCTGAGGGATGCATCTGAACCTTCAGCTGATCATCTACTGTTCCCTGAAGCCTCATCAGAAATCTCAGTGGAAAGGTGGCCGTCAAGCTTTTTTTCTTTTTTTAAAAGAAAAAAAAAAAGGAAGGAAAACTCAGAAAAGGCTGTGCAGGGCTGCAATTGACCTTGATAAACAAAGAGATGGCTCAAGATTTATTTAAAAAAACAAAAACAAACAAACATCCACATAGCCAGCGGTTGCCATCTAGAACTGCTCGGATCAAGTAAAACATTTTTTTTCCTTAAAAGCATTTTCATTCTGGTGCTTCCAAGGATTTTTCAAATACACAAGTATTTTCCACCCAAAATAATCTCCACACATTTAGCTTCTCTGAAGTTATGAGAAGGCTTTAAAATCCAACAGATGTTTCCATGGAGCAATTTTTAAATGGGTTTTATTTGGGAGTTTTTTATTGAAATAAAAGTTACTGTGATGTAAACAGCAAATAAATATGATCTACAATGTAAAAAAAAAAAGTATAGTCTAATTTAAGAGTTTTAGTGGCAATTTCCACAGGGGGTTTTTTGGGTTTTTTTCCCACTTCATTTTCTCAGGTGTTACTTTGGTTCCACAATCATACTACATTTCAATCATCCTGTTACGTTGAGCGTGGCGCTGCTCTTCGCCTTTCCCATAGTAAACTTCACCGTGCCGCTCATGTCCACGCTGGTGCTCTTCAGGATGAGTTTGTGGACTGTCCCGTGGTTTTCCAGGCGGACAGAGGGCCCCGGTTTAAGGTTCTCTCCATTCAAAGTCCAAACCGGAGGCTTATTTATGGCGACTGATAACTCACACTGGAAAGTCGCTGGCTCTCCCTCCATCACTTCCACGTCCTCTAGCTCTTTCACCATCACAAGAGCCTGGGCTGGAGCAACACAGAACAAATCAGTTTGACAAAAATGTATTTAGGGTGTTCCGCTTTAGCTTTCCGCCCCAACTTACCTTCCACCATCAGTTTGGCTTTGGAGGTGTGCTCTCCGACCTCAATGCTGTAGGTGCCCTCATCCTCCACAGACACCTGCTGAATCACCAGTTTGTGGGAGCAGCCATCAGCCAGGATTTCCAGTCGGTCTGAGGAAACCAGTTCCTCCCCTGCCTTTGTACCAGGTAGTGCTGCAGTGAGGCGAGGAGACGGTGCATTCAAGGATCACACGATGTTTCTCCAGAGCTGTTCTGTCTCGCAAGGGCTTTACAATAGAAACTGGAAGTTCTGAAACAAGAGGAAATTCAACATATAGATGATTTTAAGTCACTGATATGTCCAAGAAAAAGGCCAGTAAAATATTCTGAAGATAAAGAATTAACTTACCCTCTACCTCAAGGTAGGCAGTAGATTCAACATCCCTGGCTACAAAGCGGATTTCTCCAGCATCTTCAGCTTTAATGTTACACATCAGCAGGAAGTGTTTGGTCCCTGGAAGAGAGCAACAATTCTCAGACTTGCCAACAGTGTACAAGTGGTCTTTTGCTCTTTCCAAGGTCGTGCCACCACCAGAGGTACCGCTAAAACTACAAATAGAGAAATTTAAATCCTTCTCCTCTCCAAACGAGGTTTGAGGGTTTTTCCATGGATGGTGATGCCATTTTCTGGAGAACCGATTGGTCAGTAGGCAGTGATTTCATACCTATTGATCTCCAATCTGAAACTTAACCTGTTCTGGAGCAGATTATGGTATTTTACTCTTGTATTATTTATGATTTTATGATTGATTTCTAAGTCTCATAGAAATGTCTGCCTTCTCTGACCTTCAGTGCGGATCTTGATGGAGCTGGTTGGTCGGATCCTGTGGCCGTCTTTGTACCACTCCCCTGTCACGTCCTCCAGAGAAACATCACACATGAAGACAGCATTCTGGTCCTCCTGGATGTAAAGATCCTCCAAATCCTGCACTATCTCCAGCTCATGCTCTGCAAGTTAGTTAAAGACGGCAAAAAGATCAGATGGCAAAAGAAGAAAAAAGTTATTTTGCTTAAAACCACTAGATGGAGGTATTGTATAAGCTTTACTCCAGCTACTCACTGGCTCCAGTTGGTTCAAAATGAGTTGTGTTAAGCCAGTATCTGATCAGAGGCTTACCATAAACCTCCAGCGAACAGGACGTTTTGATTTCCCCTGTGTCGCATGTGTAGGTGCCAGAATCTGCCCGGGAGCACTGCAGGATTTGACAGAACCTCTTACGACCCATTGAGTAGATCCGACAGTTTTTCCCCGGCTTTAGCTCCGAACCGTCCTGAGTCATAGAAAAAAAAAGTCAAAGGCATTCTTTATTCATTATATCATTCTTAAAACTGTCACCTTGCTGGTATAATAAGACAAAATAAGGGCAAGATTACTGAGAGTATTTACTGGTTGATTTTACCTTAAACCATTTGACTTCAACATTTTGTCGGGAGAATTCACACTCCAGGGTGACAGGAAATTCCTCCTCCACACGGGCATCAGCCAGTGGTTTCAAGATGGACACTGGTGTTTCTGTCAGTTTAGTCAGTCCAGTCAATCAGTCAGTGAACTACTTGATGAAGGTGTAAAAAGTGAAACCAGTGAGCTTCACGGGCTTGTATTTACCTTTGACTGTGAGCCTCGCTGTGGTGCGCACTCCTTCAGCTGAGAAGGCGATGGTGCCTGTGTCCTCCAGAGTAAGGTTGGACAAGGTGAGGCCGTGAACTCGTCCATTGGTGCTCACCCTACACTGATTGTTTGGCTTGACCCGAATGCCGTCCTTTTGCCAGCTGCCCTCCACATCTGTGTGTGACAGCTCCACCACAAAGGAGGCAGTCTCTCGTTCAAAGGTTTCTTGGTCAGTCAGACCTTTGCGGATGGCGATTTTACGGGCTGCACAAGAGTAGATTAGTGAAAGCGGTGAGAGGTGAGAGGATACCATCATTATCAAATTATAAATCGAATAAATATCTATTAAATCATTGAAAAAATTATTTTAAAAAACTGAGAGAATTCTTTTTTTTTGCAAACTGTATTTTGCTGATATGCATTTGAAAGCCAAGATTGTGTTTCAAGGACAACTGAAGGTTGTGCAAATATAGACAGAGCTCAGTTTATCATGTTACAAAAACACTAGCAGGAGCAGTCCACTGTCACTGTGTCACTCTTGTACACGGCTGAATAACAGTATGGCTGTGTTTCAAATATCTTTTCACACTTACAGGTCTGGCTCGGCTATTCTTAGTACTTCTTTACACTCTGACATGCTGTGAAAAACACCTTCAGTGTGTACTGTTCTTTAGGCCCGAACTCATCTGTGTCAGAAGAGATACCAATCACAAAGTCACATGGTACGCTGGCTTCTGAAATGTCTTGTTTTATAGTCTTCAGAGCCGAGTAAGTACTGGAAGTATCTGGCTAGTGTTCTTTCTGCCTCCTTTTATCTTATTTATTCACACAGCAGTTAGGTTTGAACAGTTAAATCCAGACACAATAAGCAATTTTAGGAAAAGTTCATTTCTTCACTCGCTATTTATAAAATAAACAAAAAGGCTTGTTGCATTTCAAATCAACATGAGCTTTCTCCAAAATGCTTCTTATCGTCTTAAGTTGTTTGGACATATATTATATGATTGCTGCATATTTTTGGCTTTATATACTTTTCTATATGTGCTTTTCTGAAAAGTGGTAAGGTGTTTTTTTTCTTTTTGCATGTTTTAAAATCCTGAAAACTTCACTGGTGTCTCTTCCCATAAAAATGAATTAGGATCTGTAATTTGAGACAGATACGAGATAAGAGCATCAGCCTGTTAAAATATGAAAAACAAAAACAAATTAAATCAAATTAACACACACTAATAAAAAAACACTTCACAGAAAAAAACAACAGTTTCTAGATGTATATAGTTATAGCATTAAAAAAAATACAAATTAAACATAATTAACACAAAAATTAAGAAAATGCTTTTTTCATTCAATATTTTTACTCGTGCTTTGAGCAAATATGATGAGTTCAACTAAAAAAAAATCAAAATATCATAAAATGGTGCAGAAAAATCTGAAGTTTCCAAATCTAATCTAACCATTTTGAAGCCCAGTCTAGCTATGATTTTGAGACCTAATGCCCTGGATGAGTCTGATAAAATATATCTCAGATTAAAGTATACTAAGAGGGATTGAAACCTGAGATCAATAGTTCGGTAGAAACCCTAACCCTAATGACACAACTGCATTATCGGCATTATCTGCTGCAGTTCACTTACGTTCTACATTGAGTTTGACCTGCGTCCGGTCATGCAGAGTCTCGCACCGGTAAGTCCCCCTGTCCGACAGAGTCAGGTTGTGGATGGTGAGACTGCGTTTGCAGCCGTTCTGGGCCAGCGTGTGTCGGGGACCAGACTGGATAACCACCCCCTGCCTCATCCACTGGACCTCACCGGCCTCCAGGCTAATCTCTGCCTCCAAGGTGGCATCACCAAACTCCTCTGCCATAACAGCTTCCATTTTCTTAGTAAACATGACCTGAGCCTCTTAACATTACAAGAGTCAGAAAAAAATGATCAACTGCTGATCATCTGATGATCACAGATAGAAGATAGATGGATGGATTTTAATCTCTTTTAACCTTGACGATTGGCCTTACCCTGAACTTTGAGGCTGGCTTTGCTCATTTGTCCTTCAGCTTCTGCTGTAATTTTTGAGCAGTCCAGCATCTGGCACTTTTTAATCACCAAGGTGTGGCACAGGCCATTGTGGGTTGCCTGGAAACGATCACCCAGAGTGATAGGCTCATTGTCCATGAGCCAGACCAGCTGGACATCCTCTGGGGAAACCACACACTTAAAGGTTGCATCTTCTCCTTCCAGCACTGTAGTGTTGTGGAGTTCAGTGAGGAACTCAATGACTCGGGGCACTGAAAAGACAAAAGTTATGAAGCTGCTATCTCATTGAAAAGAGGAGAGGAACTCTATTTCAATGCATACTTACTTTCTACCCTCAGTTTTGCAACAGTCCGGTCATCTCTGGACTCACAGGTATACTCGCCAGCATCCTCTCGAGATAGACGATGAATGGTCAAGCTTCTTTCGACTCCATCTGCCCTAATGGAGAATCTCCTGTTTGGGACCACCTCTACTCCATTCCTTAACCACTGGACGTCCGCTTTTGGCTTGCACACCTCACACCGAAGGGTCACCATACCATCAGCGTGGGCCACAGTGTCTCTAAGCGGCTTTGTGAACTTAATTCTCATTTCTGTAATACAGAAAATCAAAGTTGATATGAGAAGATAGGCCAGACTGAGGCTTTCTACACTCAACAAAAATATAAACGCAACACCTTTGTTACTGCTCCCATTCCCCATGGGATGGACGTAGAGACCTAAAATTCATTCCAGATACACAATATAACCATCCCTCCCAAACAGTGGTCACAAATCAGTCCAAATATGTGGTAGTGGGCACATCTGCTATATTGAGATAATCCATCCCACCTCACAGGTGTGCCACATCAGGATGCTGATCTGACATCATGAGTAGTGCACAGGTGTACCTCAGACTGCCCACAACAAAAGGCCACCCTGGAATGTGCAGTTTTGTCTCACAGCAAAATGCCACAGATGCCACAGCAATGAGGGAGCGTGCAATTGGCATGCTGACAGCAGGAATGTCAACCAGATCTGTCGCCCGTGCTTTGAATGTTCATTTCTCAACCATAAGCCGTCTCCACAGGCGTTTCAGAGAATATGGCAGCACATCCAACCGGCCTCACAACCGCAGACCTCGTGTAACCACACCAGCCCAGGACCTCCACATCCAGCAGGTTCACCTCCAAGATCGTCTGAGACCAGCCACCCAGACAGCTGCTGGAACAATTGGTTTGCACAATCAAACAATTTCTGCACAAACTGTCAGAAACCGTCTCAGGGACGCTCAACTGCATGCCCGTCGTCCTCATCGGGGTCTTGACCTGACTCCAGCTCGTCGCCATAACAGACTTGTGTGGGCAAATGCTCACATTCGATGGCGTCTGGCACGTTGGAGAGGTGTGCGCTTCACGGATGAATCATGGTTCACATTGTTCAGGGCAGATGGCAGCTGAGAATGTCCCAGTTCTTGCATGGCCAGCATACTCACCGGACATGTCACCCATTGAGCATGTTCGGGATGTGCTTGACCGGCGTATACGACAGCGTGTACCAGTTCCCACGAATATCCAACAACCTCGCACAGCCATTGAAGTGGAGTGGACCAACATTCCACAGGCCACAATTGACAATCTGATAGACTCCATGCGACGATGTGTTGCACTGCATGAGGCAAATGGTGGTCACACCAGATACTGACCGGTTCTGGGTCCCCAGACCCCCAATAGCGCAAAAAACTGCACATTCCAGGGTGGCCTTTTGTTGTGGGCAGTCTGAGGTACACCTGTGCACTACTCATGATGTCAGATCAGCATCCTGATGTGGCACACCTGTGAGGTGGGATGGATTATCTCAATATAGCAGATGTGCCCACTACCACACATTTGGACTGATTTGTGACCACTGTTTGGGAGGGATGGTTATATTGTGTATCTGGAATGAATTTTAGGTCTCTACGTCCATCCCATGGGGAATGGGAGCAGTAACAAAGGTGTTGCGTTTATATTTTTGTTGAGTGTACATAGCTGTTCAAAATGCAAAACAAAATTTTAACCTTTCACCAGCAGGCTGAAGTGCATCTGGTCTGTGTTGATGTCACATGTGTACTCGCCGGCATCAGAGCGTCTCAAAGGCTCGATAGTAAAAGTGCGTTTATGGCCCTCCATGAGTGCTCGGTAACGATCACCTTCAACGGGCGACCAGTCTTTCATCCAGCGCACTAGAGCGCTTTCCTTGGAAACATAGCTTGTCAAGGTCACGCTCTCTGCTTCGTAACCCGTCACAACAATGTCATCCTCCTTGTTCACAAATGTAACTGGAGTCTCTTTGATAGAAAAGAAAATTTAAAAGAAAGTTATATGACCTTTTTTCTCTTCTTTAAAGCTGTGAAGGCTTATTTTGTGGATTCGTACCTTGAATGCGTATAACGCTGACCATCTTGTCATCCACAGCGTCACACACATACTTTCCAGAATCGGAAGGCTGAACACAGGAAATGATGATTTTCCTCAATGTCCCATAGCTTTCAATATAGGTCCGGTCATCACTGGTGAGAAGCCTGTCATTACAATACCACTGGACAGGGGCATTAGCACGAGATACCTCACAGGCCAGGATCAGGTCATCGCCTGCCATCATCTCCTGGTATTCAAGGTCATTTGAGTTTCCAACAATGGTCACTGGAGGCTCTGAGGGAAGAAGATGGATTAATTCATGCAAAGTTTTGCCAGAAATATCCTTTTGAAAAAAATGTACATACAGAGATAGCTCTTTTGTGATAATATCATGCCAGTGGAAGCCAAAATTATAACTACTTGATCCTGCCAGATACTAGCTGCCGTTTTGAAATGTTTTCAAAAATGTTTTCAAAAAGTCCAAGGCAAGATGCTTAGCCTTATCCCTTTCAAAAAATAAGTTTAACCTTTTATTTAAATAAATATTTAAAAAGTACTTGAAAAACAGCTAACTGCTTATCTTCATTGGAATGGTATGTATAAAACTTAACACTTCAGAATTCCTCACAGAAACAGCATTGACATGGAGGTTATGAATAACCTTGTCATGGCCTCTGACAGAACGGAGTCTCTCAGAGACATTCTGTTCATGTAGATCGGAGTTCCAGTTGTGCCGACGAATTCTATTTACATTATAAATGCTCCTCTTAAGCAGTAACATTAGAAACCATAGCATACAATTGCATTGCTATGCAGATGATACCCAGCTCTATGTGTCTGTCAAGAGATATATTCTAAAGACACTTCTTCAGCATGAGAGTCAGAGAGTAGAAACACACACGCTGCAGTTTTTACTTGCAAGGGCAGTCACAGAGTGCTCGCAGTGGCTCAAGGACTCGCGCTCTGCCACTGTCCTGGTCTTTATTTATATACAACAGTAGGTGCATTCGTTTATTACATTGGAATGTGGATGTGTGCGCGTGTGTGTGTGCGTGTGTGCCAGGAGAGGCTTCTCTACCTGGCATGAAGTGAAACTGCTCGTTAAGCTCTTATCTAGCACTAATAGGTACTGCTCCTTCCCTGCATGATAACGGGTCACAGTGAACTAAAAACAGTCTGAGTTATAAAGAGGTCATCATGCAGTATTCTATCATATGCAAACTTATTTTATTAAAAGTCTATACTGACTACTAAGTACAATTTTCTATTGACAGTGTCAATAAAGCTAGATGAAACACCTATTAGTTAAACTGCAGGCATAAAGATATAAAAGCCCGTATTACTTCGCTTAAAAATCTTAGTAACATGGTGTCTAACCAGATACAGTCCCAGTCAAAAGTTTAAGACCCCTTGAAAAATGGCAAAAACTCATATTTGCATGGTAGGATCTTAAAAAGTCAAAAAAGTTCCCTTTTTGAACATGGTCGGGTTGTTAAACTGCATAAGCAGGGCCTCTCACAGAGTGCCATCGCTGCTGAGGTGGGACGCAGTAAGACAGTCATTTGGAATTTCTTAAATGAACCTGAGGGTTATGATGGAAGACCCAAAAACATTTCACCAGCACTGAGCCAGAGGATCCAATTGGCTGTCCGTCAAGACACTGGACGATCCTTGACCCAAATTAAGGCCTTTATTGGTGCTGACTGCAGCCCCATAACCTTCAGACAGCATATGAGACTGAAGGGCTTCAAAAACAAAATAACATCTTCAAAGGCCTCGTCTCCTTGAACGCCACAGAGCTGACCGTTTGGACATGAGACACTGAAAGGTGGTAGAAAGTTTTATTTTCTGATGAGAAAAAATCTTGATGGTTTCCAGTGTTACTGGCATGACAAGCAGATCCCACCTGTGATGTTTTTTTATGCACCATAGTAGGTAAATGGTAAATGGCCTGTATTTATATAGCGCTTTTACTCGTCCCTAAGGACCCCAAAGCGCTTTACACATCCAGTCATCCACCCATTCACACACACATTCACACACTGGTGATGGCAAGCTACATTGTAGCCACAGCCACCCTGGGGCGCACTGACAGAGGCGAGGCTGCCGGACACTGGCACCACCGGGCCCTCTGACCAGAGCAAAAAAATACTTTTGCTCTGCAATAAACGAGAATAAAACGACATCAGTCATAACTGTGAAACACTGGGTGGAGTGTTAGGCCTATATGTGGCTACATCAAATGAAATACCATCATTTAAACACGCACGCACTCAAACACTTCACAAACAGACCTTTCAAGGCGATGCGTTGGTCTCACAACACATGAAAAAACATTTTTTTAAAAAGCAAAATACGGAAGCTACAGCAGAAAAACAAAGTAGGTGCTTTTTCCTGTAAAACAGCCTGTTTCATTTTAAGTGTTGTTTTCAATAAATTGCATGCTCAAAAAAATGTTTTGTCTCACTCCCATTTCTTCTTGTTGCATGTTGAAGCTCTACCTGGAACCTTGTTAAGATGCAACCATGCAAAATATGATATTTTGTCATTTCCAAGTGGTCTTAAACTTTTGATTGGGACTGTATTTACCATGGATGGCATTGTTTTCGTCTGCAGTAACCATGTGAGGAAACCTGGAGTCCTTTTTGACCAGGATATGTATTTCAATGTGCATATTAAACAAATATGCACGACTGCTTTCTAAGAAAAAATTAAAAAAGAAGAAAAATACATTCAGCCATATTAACCTTACCTTCTACTGTAACTTGGAAGCTGATACTGTCATCTCCGACATCCAAAAAATATTCTCCTGAATCTTCGAGTTCAGCATTGAGGATGACGAGCGAGTGGAAAGGACCTTCTTCCTCTTCACAGAACCTTTCATCACCCTGAACACGACAGCCATCCTTGTACCATTTGGCAACAGCATTGGCTCTGGAGAGCTCACACTCCAGCACAATGTCATCAGAAATCAAGAACTTTAGGTTGTTCTTGATCTCTGACTTTCTTAAAATCTTTACTGGTGGCTCTGAGGACACAGAATTGAACATTTATCTTTAAATTTCACAATGGGTCAGAAAACTCATACCGAGGCAATTGCTGCATCTTACCTGAAACTTTAACCTGGAAATCAATTTTATCATCCATAGCGTCACAAGTGTATTTGCCAGAATCCTCAGGAGTGGGAGAGTGAATTGTCAAACGACGAATGAGCCCATCTTCTGTGATGGTGACATTGCTGCTTTGCTGAATTTCTTCACCATTTATCAGCCACTTGACTTCTGCATTTGGTCGGGACACCTCAATTTCTAGAATCACTGGTTTGCCAGCAAGACTCTCCAGTTTTTCAGCTATGTCTTTGGGGCAAGTTAGCGTTACTGGTGGCTCTAAGTGAAGCAAAGAGAAATAAAGTATGTAAAATGTAATGTGATGATTCGTTTACTGAGTGACCATGTATAGACCATAAATAATTAGCCTGAATGTATGCCTGTTTACCTGTAATAGTTACTAGGAAAGCCAAAGAGTTATCTTCTGTGTCACATACATACTCCCCCGTGTCGTGCACAGTGGTTATGGGTATAATGAGCCTCCGTTGGGCCCCGTCCACCTCCAGGATCAAGTTGTGCCCTGCCTCTACTTCTAGACTGTCTTTGAACCAGCGCACAGGAGCATCCGCCTTTGAGATCTCACAGCTGAGCTCCAGCCTCTCTGATGCCAAGTGAGTCAGTTCCAGCTCTGATTCACTGGGATAAATGATTCTTACTGGTGGATCTAGTACAAGTGAAAGATATTAAAAAAAATAAGCATTTAAACTTATTTTGTAGATTCTCTATGTTTCAATTTGATATCTGTTAGAAGAGGTGAGCACTAAAGTTTTACCTTTAACACCAAGTTGGAAGAAGATGGAGTCTCCATCTGTTTCACAGACATATTCTCCAGCATCCTCCTCTGAGCTGCAGAGAATTGTCAGCCTCCTGTAAGGGCCTTCTGATATCAGCTGGATGTTTTCACTCTCTGCCACCTGCAGGCCATCCTTGAACCATCGCACCTTCCCCCTGGAGCGAGACAGCTCGCACTGCAGGTGGATCTCCTCTGAGATGTAGCTCTCAATCACCACATCGTCTTTAGGTTCCACTATCATCACTGGAGGCTCTGTGTTTTTTGTTTGAGTAATAAGAGCGAGGTCAAATGGTGCTCACAATGAATTAATAATCTATTTGTTCCACAATGCCACCTTTAATCTTTTTATTCTCATTTTAAAACTTCAGGGCCAAAACACAGCCAAAATATGTTGTTAAATGCCTTTTGTTTTTACCAACAGGAGTTGGAGGAGAAAGGTCAGTGTACCTCGGACATTGACTGTGAACTCCATGCTGCTGTTTCCTGCCTGGCAAGTATAACTTCCAGCATCTGAGGTTTCTGCAGAGCGGATAATTAACCTCCTCATGGTTCCTTCTGCCTGCAGAGTTATGTTGTCACTGGGCTTGATCTCACAGCCGTCTTTATACCTGGGACACAGACACAGATAACTGTAAAGAGTCTCAAAGAGTTTGTTTTAGTTACATTAAAAAAAAACCTGTGTCCTACTAAGAGGTTGATTGTGCAGTAAACAAAATGATGCAGGAAGTATTTGAACAGTTAGACACTGGAAACACAGAAGACTACAGACTTTACAGATCTACAGATCTGTCTTTATTTGCAAACAGGAATTCTTCAGTCTTACCACACAACTTCAGCATCATCTCTGGAGACATGGCAGACCAGCACCACAGGGTCCAACTCCATGCTGCTCTTATGAAGTTCATCCTCAGCGACCGGACTGAAATCCACCGGAGGACCTTAAAAACAGGGTAGAAGGAAGACTGCATGTCAATGGCTGGAGCTCAAGGTATTACATGAACTAGCCCTCTAAAAATTGGAGTGATTCTTGGTATGGTTTAATAATAAGCCCAGATGTGGTCCAAATGTGTTAGCACAGGTTTTAAACAAGGTTTTGGTTTCTTACAAGACATAAAAATCAGTCAGAGACACAGTTGTTTATATTCAGTGTCACTTAATAATCCAAGAAACATCAGTATTTTCATGATATGAAATCCAGATAGTATATTAAGTATGCATTTTCCTGTATAAGAAAATTAACATGTGATTCTTTAAGTAAATATAACAAAATGGTCAATTAATATCCATGTTAATGTTAATGTCTATGTTAATGTTAAAGAAGCTCATCAGCATGTCATCTGTTCATAAACCAATTACCTGCAACATCCACATTGAATGTGATGACATCCCCTGAAGTTTCACATGTGTAAACTCCAGAGTGAGATTCCTCAGCTGACTGGATCACGATCCTCCTCATATTCCCATCCGCCTGGATGTTTAGACCATCTGAGACCTGAAGCTCCTTGCCATCTTTGAACCAGGATACTTTTGCAAACGGATGGGAGACTTCACAGTAGAGTACAATGGCATCCCCTATGTCCACCTTTTTCTTGCTGTCTAACTCTGACAGAGGACTGAATTTCATCACGGCAGCTGATGAAAAAAAAAATGAACACAGAAATAAGCAAACTTAAAAAAAATGCATCAATCACAGGTTTTTCAGAGGTTTTTACACCTACGTTTAACGTTGAGCACAGCGGAATCCCTGACTCCGTTAGCTATGAAGGTGACCTCTGCTTCATCCTCTGTCATGCGACTTTCATGGATCACCACTGAGTGCTTTGTTTGATTGTGTTGTATTGAATATCGTCCGCCGTGCTGCAGTTGAGCACTATTGAGAAACCAGGTTCCAACCATTGGGGCAGACAATTCAATGGATAAGTGAGCATCTTGTCCTTCTACAACCTCACAGCTTTGGAGGCGGCTGAGGATCTTGGGCCCAGGAACTAGCAAGTACAGAAGAAGTACAGTACAGGTATTAGTCAATTAAGCCTGACAGATATGTTGGCCCTAATAATATTAGCTATTTGCACATATATTGGCATCAGAATTTACAACAGAATTAAAAAGTAAAGAAGAGACAGGAAAAATGTCTTTCTACTATGTTATGTGTTGATTTTGCACAGCTTGCATAGTCTGCCACCAGAGGGCGCTCTGCAACTTCCCTGTTGGCAACAATGTCTGAACTGCCACAAAACATCAACCAGCTGATCCAAGCAGATCTGGCAGTGCATAAATGACTAATACATGACTTGTTGTGACATTAAAGCAAGATTATTTTTAAACTCATTGTCATTTTATCATTGGTGTCTGAAAGAAAAAAATATTGGTCCATATTTTTAAATTGCTCAATTTAGTCCTATAAACATATCCTATGTCGTACATTATTAGTCAACAAATAATGCGTAGTTTACTCTAGAAAATTACAGGAAAGTGCTGGAAGTTAAATTTAGCAGAAGGAAATTGTCATTTTACAGTACTGTCAGCTGTTTGGTTGTCATTATAGTTTCATATTAGTTCTCTTACTCCAGTCTACATAATATCTATGTTTATCACTGATAAATATAACTACATGTCCTTGTTCGCTTAAACCTTAACACTTTTCTTTGCCACACTGGAGACCACATCAAACACCCACAACAAATTTAAGCACAATATAACTGAAATAACCATAATTAAAAGAAGAAAAATTATTAACATTTATATGCCCATGGTTTCTCAGCAAGTTAAAAAAACAAACGCTCTACCTAAAAATGTATACAATTTTGTGTTTCATATTTAAAGTAAACTGTAGTGTTTTTGAATAAAATTATATTCACCTCAAAGAAGAGTTTCAAGTAAAACTTTAAAAAAATGACATTTAATATATCTGTATGTAAAATCTGTCGCCGTGTGCTCCTCACCCAGATGGACAACTTTGGGAAACTCCACATGGCCACTTCGTCCATATTTGTTAATGCAGCAAACTCTGAAACGGTAGTTGCCCTCGCATCGTACAATGTCACCGGTGACCTCAGCTGAGGTGGCGGTCTCTGAGGTGAAACACTTCTGCCACTCCTGAGAACCCACTTCTTGCATCTCCAGCACAAACACAGAGCGGGTGGAGGTCTGACTACTGGGGGCGGGATCCCAGTTAAGTAGCGCACTGTTGGGTCTGTCTACATCCATTTTGACTCCCACCGGACAGATAGGTGGGCAGTGTCGTGTGGCTGAAAGACAAAGAAGAATAAAGAATGTAATAAGGGTGGATTGATAAAAGGCTGATTGTCAGAAGGCATCATTAAATTCACTGAAACTAGTTAGTTAATTAGTATTCAAGCAGAAGCAATAATTGTAATGTATTATTAGACAAATGTAAAAATAATTAAATAAAAACACATTTTGTCTTAAAATTAATACATTTAGACAAGTGAGCCTACATTTTTGCATATGACTCCTTCTAAAAATAAATTTGCCATCAGAGTTCCCACTCTCACCCCCAGCAAAAACACTCTACTGAATGTAACAAAAGACAAAATCATCCTGCAACAAATAAACCTGAAATAAATGTTTATTTAAATCTCAAACACAACCTGCAAAGCTTCTTCAAATCAAGGCAAAAAAACCCTTAACAAACATTTACACAAAGTGTTTGCTAAATTACCTTTGACTTTGAGGCGTGATGAAGTCTTGGATCGTCCTGCGACAAATGTCACAACTCCCGAGTCGTGATAGGCCACGTTGACAAAGACCAGAATGTGAGTTTTGCCAAAAGACTTGAGGATTGTTTGGTGTGTTTCATGTAGCTTCAACCCGTCTTTGAACCAGTGGACCTCCATGTCTTCGTTCTCCACCTCCACGCAGAAGGCTGCATTCTCACCCTCCAGGACCTCCAGTTTTCGTGGAAGCTTACGAACAATAGTACCTGTACGGATAAAAATCAATGCAAATAGTTTTTCAAAATAAGCTTAAAAGCTGCATCAGGTAGTTTCCCCCTTTGACCACACACTGTGCTAGCAGGTGTTTATACAGAGATCATTTAGCTTGAAATAATGACATGAATGGATTAATGCGATAAAGCAAGTGTGCATTGAAATTTTGTCTTCCTGAAGTACTAGTCCTAGAAATACCATCCCTTTTTACAATAATTTGATGCACCATAGCCTATTTTTCATAGTGTACCTTTAACTGAGAGCTCAGCAATGCTCTTTGCTCCATCAGGCATCTCACAGAGGTAGACTCCATCATCGTCTGTTCCCACATCGTGAATAGTGAGTCTTCGTTTGGTTCCTTTCTGCTCCATCCCATATTTACTGCTGGGCATCAGCCTCTGGTCTTCCAGGTACCAGGCAGCTGGGAGTGACTCATCAGGTACCTCACACTCAAGCACGGCAACGTCCCGCTCTTTCACCTCCACGTCTTTTAACGGGCGCCTGAACCGCACGGCAGGGCCTGAAGAATAAGGACAACGTTATCTTTGGTCCAAAGTGGATGAATCGTACATATATATGGGTACATGTGTGCAAGGATTGATGGAGATGCCAAACAAGAAGCTGTTTCGCAGTGCTATAGCGTAGATTTAGAAGACAGTTCAAATTCATTGCATTGGCAGCAGGCCTAGAAAAACTCAAACTCAAAATAATAATTAAAATATAATGTGTGGAAATGAAAAAATTTAGCGCAAACACTTAATTTTTGATTCTCTTTTGCTACCATATAATAGTTTTCAAGCAGTGATTAGCAGTGGTAATGTTCCGTCATGTTATCTGTATGTTAATGACTGGCATGTTGAGCCCATTAACTAAACTGACTCTTATGGTAGAGGCAGCTCACAGATGCAGAATGAATCACATATGAATGGGGTAGCATTCTAACTATGCACAGCCCTCACAATTGCAGCTCATGGTATAATGTTTTATTAGTATGGTTTAAGATATGCCCTCATTTATTGTAACTGGACATATACATATTCATTTCAGTTGTCCATTTTCAGTGACTAATGTCTTGAAAAGAAAGACGTTTCTTTTGTGTTATTCAAAAGGTTCCAACAGCATGAAAGCAATTTAATCTGCTTTAAGGAATAATATTTGGTACAATGAAATGTTTTCTACACTCAAAAAAATGAAATTGGGTGGTTGTTACATGTAAAAGATTCAAACTTGTAATTTCAACTAAATAATTTCATGTTTCTAAGGTGAACATAATTAAATCATGTAGCATCTGCATGAAATTCAGCAACTTAATTTGTTCTTGTTGAGATGACATGATACAATCTAGTAAGCGTGGTTAGTTGACTGGACTCACGAAATTCACAAGATCATATTAGATGTCAAACTGCAGGAAAATTGCTGGAGTTTTAAGAGGCAGACAGCTACACCCACACCACGTGTATGCTATTGCTATTTATTGTGGTTTAACCTGTCAAGGACAAAAACCTACAGAAAATTCTGCATCAAGCCTTGTAATCATTTTGTTAAGCCTGCATTGACAGCTTGGTGGTGTGATGGTTAGTGCTGTTGTCTCACAGCAACAAGGGCCTGGGTTCAAATCCACAATCTGCCTAGTTTGCAGTGTGTAATTGGAGTTAGGTTAATTGGTGATTCTAAATTACCCATGAACGTAAGTGCAAATGGTTGTTTGTCTCTATGAAATCATCAACCTGCATATTGGTTCATTACGCAAGACTAGCAGTAATTGCCTTGACTAACAAAGTAGGTGTTCAAACAACAAGATTTCATTGCGTTTCCCTGAAGTTTTTACCTTGTGTAGAATGAATTAAAACAAATTTCACTCTACATACTTAAATCCCTTCAAGTCAATGTAAGTACATCAAGCCACCAAATGCCAAATGTGTTGGTTTGACATGGTCAAAAATGGGTTATTGTACTTGGTTAAATCACATGGAAAAAGGTGCCATGATTAAATTGTGTAGGTGGTTATTTTCAGAGGTTTTATAATAATGTTTCAATGTTAATCACCTTCTGTGGTTTCTGTTACTCTTTTAATCACTTTTTCCATTTACTTGTAGCATTCAGTGAACACAGAGGACTAACATTATTTGGGTTAAATATTGTTCAAGAAGAATATCACATGTCATGTTCTTCCATGAAGGTTGCAGAAAAAAGAACAGGTTGCCATACCTTTGACGGACAGGTGAACTGCACTTAGGGTGTTTCCCAGCGCGTTTGATGCTGCACACACATACAACCCTGTGTCCTGCACTTTACAGTACAGCACCTTCAGGGTGTAGTAGCCCTCTCTGTCCTCAAATATCAGATGACGTCTGTCAGGCTCTAGGGGAACTCCATCTTTCTTCCAGATGATCTCAGGTTTCGGCTTCCCTGTTACAAAGCAGCGAAACTTGGCGTGTTTCCCCTCCGCTACTGCAAATTTCTTCACTTTTGATGCATCGACAGGTGGCTCTGCTGTGATCCTTGACAAACTGGGCCTCCCACCCCTGTGCTTTGGTGACCACTGGCTGTTAGTGTGACCAGTCGAGGATGTTTTGCTGTCACCTCGCTCTGGTACAGGTTCGACAAGAAGGACGGCCCCAGCCAGGGCCTCACCATGGCAGTTGACGGCCTTGCAGGTGTAGACGCCTTTATCTGGCATACGTGTCCGATATATCTTGAGTTGGAACCAGCCACCATCTTCATTTCTCATGCTGAAGTGAGAACTCTCAAAGATGTCATTGAGTTTCTTCCCATCCTTTTCCCAAATCACCTCTGGCAGAGGAGTCCCCCAGATTTTACAGGAGAAGGCAGCGTCTTCGCCTCGATCCACACGCAGAGACAGGGGCTTGATGAGGAATCGCGGTCTGTCATCAGATGTCAGATCAACCTCTGCTTGGTTTTTGCTTAGCCTGCTGTTCCATTCTCCATTCAGTTCCCCTCCATTTGCCTTGCAGTGTTCACCATTTTGCACTGCATTGTAGCCATTTAGGTGTCCCACAAATTCTCCGTTTTCTTGCATAGGCTGTGCCCCACCATTGACCACTAACTGTCTTGCGTCCTCATCTTGTTGCTGGGCCTCTCCTTCAACTTTAAGTGAGGCTGCTGCATAGGTTTCTCCTATGCTATTTCTAGCCTTGCAGATGTACTGGCCAGCATCCTGCTGGGTCACTCTGGTAATAGTCAGCAAGTAAACCTTTCCCTCATCCGAGATGTTGTAGCGTCCTTCAGACAGGATCTGGACATTTTTGCGTTCCCAGATCACATCTGGGCGTGGGTCTCCACCGATTTGGCACTTCAGTGTTGCATCTGTTCCACACTGGGCCACTACAGGACGTGGATAGCCTAAAACACGAGGTGCGCCACCAAAAATATCCATGGTGATGTCACCTTTTGTTTGGGTCGAATGAAGAAGTTTCTTCTCAAAATGATCTTCTTCTGTTTTGTAAATAGCTGAAAGAGAAAGAAGATTATTAGTTCAGTAGATGATTAAAATCTGCCATGAGTGCAGCTTTTGAGTTCAAACCCCAAAGCACCATCTAAACAGTAACTGTGTGGTTATTGTGTCCCAGATGGGTTCATCAGTAATCTGACTCAAACTGAAAGCAGAATGCAGAGTGAACAGTTTTATAAAATACAATAAAATGATCAATCTCCATTAATTCCACGGTGTATCTTTTTCCTGTCGTCCTCCTCCCATCGCCAACCTTTCACGGCAGATGGCCGCCCCTCCCTGAGTTTGGTTCTGCTGGAGGTTCCTTCCTGTTAAAAGGGAGTTTTTCCTTTCCATTCTCGCCAAGTGCTTTTTTCAAGGGGGTCTTCTGATTGTTGGGGTTTCTCTCCATTATTGTAGGGCTTTTACCTTACAATATAAAGTGTGTTGAAGTGACAGTTGTTGTTATTTGGCACCATTTAAATAAAACTGAATTAAATCAAATTTTAAAAAATTCTGAATACTCAATATAGTTCCCAAAGCTGAAGTAAAGAAGTTTAGTGGTTTTGCGAGGTGGGTATTGAGCAAACACTTTTGGTTGTCTCACAGCTGGTGCTGTAGCTCAGTGAAGAGTGTATTTATAAAGCAGTCTGTCCAAAAAAAGATGCTGGAGCCTCTGTGTCACATAGCACACACAAACACACCTGCAGTCACTAACTAGGACCAACTAATCCCTTATATACATTCATGTGTACAGAATGCTGTTTGCAGTCTTACTGTTGGCTTCTCTTTGTCAGCTCATTGTAACATTCTAGCAACAACTTAAACAATTCAGTATATAAAGCAAGGGTGTCAAACATAAAGTCTGGGGGCCAGAATTGGCCCGGCAAGGACTCAAATCGAGCCCACTTGACAGCTTTTGAAAATGCGAAGGAAGTAATAGATTTTGACTTAGAACTGTATTTTCAAAGGTTTTACAGCCTCTATGACTGATAAAAATCTGCCCCATTACCATTCACGCTAAGCCAAAGTAATTTACTAATAGATAAACACAATGTCAAATGAGTTTGACATCTCTGATCTAAAGCTTTAGCCTCCATTTGTAATGCAGCTGCCACTTGTCTCTTTTCATGGCTCATTTGTTTCCTCTGTGTTGTCACCACCTTTCTTTTTGCTTTGAGAACGGCAGCCATTTGTTCTCTGTGACACATCACGCTTGGAAATCATCTAAAGAGCATAAAGTCATACAACTTTATGACAAGTAGAGGCACATCCCAAGCTCAGTCAGTGTTAGAATGTTTTGTTGGCACATGTAAAGAAAAGATCGTCCTCAGGCATTTTCAGGAGAGAGTTACACAGTGACACAAAAAAAGAGTTCAGAGGATAGACTTACCGCTTTAAGAAATGCTGTCTTTATAGCATTTGTCTCTCTTGTGATGCCTTAAAATGTTATTCTTAAAAATACAAGCTGGCATCAGTTTACTTGGATGATCATTGGTTAGGTTAGCATTCAAGAAGCACGTTTAGAGTCTTCTGCTCATGTTCCTTGTTTTCCTGGTTTGTCTTGTTTGGAGCACCTGCTAGTCACTCAACACCAACGCAGCTGAGAAAAATGGTAGCTTCCATTCACATTTGGTGGTCCAGAGTCATAGTAATATCTTAGTTGTGTCCCCTCAGTCTGGTGTTGGGTTGCAGGTGGCAAGGAGTAAAATGACCACAGCCTTTCAGCTGAGTGCCTGGTTTATGCGTCAGCTCTGATACTGTCATTGTCCAATAGCTAAAGAGTGTGGTGTGAGAGAGAGTGAGCTGGAATTGGTGGTGGGGGGCAGTAAATGCTTTTGCAGCTGCTGCCGCTGCAAGCCACCCCCTAAAAATACCAGCAGCTTCAATGACACTGGGCCAGATAAAGTTAGGCTCCCCATTGACAGGCTATGGTTCGCTGAAGATAGAAGGGGGCCGAGCTCTGCGATGGATCACTCAGCTTAAAAGATATCCTGAGTTAAACCTTTAGAAGAGAAAGGACGCCCTGCCTGCTGAAGCTCCTTGCCTCATGAGTCACGCTGACCCATAAATAGGGTCAAATTAGTGTCACACATTAGAAAATGGTTTATACTGAGGGATGATCAACAGATGGAAGTGAAACAAAGAGTTTGGTGTCATGATAATGCAATTCACGCTAAAAAGATAAAAGACTATGTCATGGCTTTCAGATACACGGCCATATATATATTATCTTAGTACTGCATCATCAGTTAATGTTACACAATTGTAACATAGTAACTACCATAATTTTTGTAACCAAGCATTGTTAACAACTCATATTAATACGCTCCACGCCCTGCGCTTCATCTCTCTTTTTGTGTGTCAAAAATGTTTGTATGTTTGTATTTCAGCACATATTAATAATTGAAAAATCTATTCTCAGTGATAAATGAGTTATATGTAGACCCATATAACACTGTGATTTGAAGAGAAATAATACAAAAATTTCATAAGGTGATAACACTTATTTTAATTCAGGCCCCTTTGTGGTACAAGTCTGGACAGGTAGGTGATTCAGAAGATTATAAATTGTTGGAAAAACTTAAAACATGAAACAAGATGCGTAACATACAACTGGCGTCAGATTTCAAACTACGTGATCAAAAACTACTCACCTCTCCAGTTGTGTCTAAAAGATACACAGTATAGGTGAGCAGTACATGAACACTAAACCCATGTCATCATCTTAGTATTTTTATTTCCCCCTGCGAGCACAGGTGCTTGTTCACTTATCAATTGTCTCCTTCTGTGGCAGATTTGAATTTGGTGTTGACACATATTGCCTGCATTCTCAGACAACAGCTCTCTGCCCTATCTCTTCAAGTGGAGCGTTTCGGACAGCCAAAGCCACTGATACACACTGCATGCAACCTGTCGTCACGGATATGTGACCTTGAATACAGGTCACATAACTTTGACCCCTTTGTGACGGCGCTGAATTAACACACCGGGAATATCATGTCAAGCACAGACTAAACTTCCCTAAAGTGTGAGTATAATGATGAGAAATTCCTATTTTATATATGGGTTTATAGGGTTTTAAATAAAATATGCGATGTGATCTATCAAGTATGTATCACTGAACAGATGAATTAATACCACAGTCATTTGGAGGAGTCACACTACACTGCTTGCCCCATTTAAGGCTACTTATACCTCTGACATTACAATCCATGCAGTCATCCCCGCAGCTGTTAGGTGTACCAGGAATTAAAAGCACAGTTCTGCTCTTTGTCCTGAGATTGGGTTTCAATATCAAAAGCTGAAGAGGATTGACTGAGACCATGGGGTCTTTAACAATATGTCAATCACCCTCGCTTCAAACCAAGGAAACTATTCTTCTGTGCTGTGTTAAAGTTATAAAAATATTCATATAGTGAGAATGCTTAGATTTCAGAAGGTTAAAAGCCTTTTGTACAACACTAAGTTAAAAGCCATACACAGAAATACTGTTTTTCAGTACTGTCCACTAGATGTGTTAAGTTCTTATTTGTAGAGCATGAAATCAAAATAGAATGATCATTCTGGAAATGTGTGGCCTTCTCTGGACAAAAGAGAGTTCAGTTCTGATCACTGCTAAACTGTTTGTCATTGCAGTCTTATTAAGATGGTTGATTTTACTGGGAATCTACAAAAACATTATGGTCCCAGGATGAAGTATTTATGTCCCCAGAGACTAGAGGAGGCACGCACACGTAGACAGACAGGACCCCATCCATCTCAACCTTCATCACTGCTGTAAAAGACAAGAGTGAAGGTGTACGGAAAATGAAAGGGATACTGAACTGGCAGATGATGTAGACACAGATATCAACAACAACAGAGTCAAGTGATCACTCACATTTTGGCTCTTCCGCTTTTTCCGTGCAACCAGCAAGCCTGCTGGGGGAAAAAAACTTCTGTGTATATGTGTGACACAACTCCAAAAAAGTTCCAAAGAAATCCATATTTTATTGCCTTTATAATGTCATAAAAACTACTTACTCAATGTCTCAAAAAGTTGGGCAGCAAAAGGCTAGAAAAGCAAGTAGGACTGAAAAGAAACAGCTGGACAAACTTATTACATTGCTTGGGATCAGGTCAGTAACATGACTGACTAGGAAAAGAGCGTCTTAGAGAGGCAGAGTTTCTCAGAAGTAAAGATGAGCAGAGGTTTGCCTTTCTGTAAAAAACAGTGTCTATAAAATTGACTACAGTACATAATATTATCAAAAGATTCACAGAATCTGGAGAAATCTCTGTGCGTACTTGTTGAAATCTGTCTGTGAGCACAGTTTGCTGTATCTGTACCAAAATTTGAGTTCATATCATCACCATTATCACAATAGAGAAAAGTGCTTGTATGAATGGGTGCGAATGGGTGAATGAGGCATGTTGTATAAATCGCTTTGAGTGCTCCAGAAGAGTAGAAAAGCGCTATTTAAGAATTGGTCCATTTACCATTTACCTGTGACCTTGGAGGTCATTTTTCTACTCTCTTTCAGGGAAATGAAGGCAGCTTTAGTCTGAATGCGAGTAACATTTCCTTTATAGGAAAAGCTTTCTCAACAAACACTGCCACACTGTCCCAAAGTCCTGACTCATGTGACCTGAACCCCGCGTGACAGGGCTAACTCATTCCTAATTTGCAAGTCTTTACTTCCATTGACCCTCTTAATTTTTAGTGGGGATCTTGAGCAATAGTTCTCCAGGTTTTTGAAGGTATTTCAAAGTTATTCTATGCACATTGTCTGCTTTTTTTTTCTTTTTACCTGTTTTCAGTCCAGTACTCATACCTATTTTCAGATGAATGTTTTTGTTTTTTAAGACAGCTAACACTGGCCTGTGAATCATTCAAGCATGCAAAGGCACCTCACTCTGATGAACTGGTGTTGTGTCATAACAGCTTAGTCATGGATTGGCCTCCCTGGAGCCCGTACCCAATAGTATTGATGCAGTGTGGGATCATCTGGAAAGAGAACAGAACAAAATGAGCTTTGGATGTCCTTCAAGAAGCCTGGAGAACTATTTCTAAAGAAATTACAGAAAAGCTGCCGACAAGAGATCAGGCTGTGTTGAAGAATAAAGGGGGTCATGCCAAATATTGACTTTCAAGCTTGTTATAGTTGTGAATTGACTTACTGTTATTATATACTGAAAGTTTGCACACATTTCACTAAATAACCTAGTTTCCATTTTTTTTTTAGCAAAACAAAGAAGTGAAGCATGGTTCATGACTTTTGCACAGCCCTATATAATCTAAGCCCCACAAGCCAGATACATCAATTTGATTTGGGGGCAAATCATATCTGCTTTTTTCTTGAGTGAAAACTAAAAACAGCCAGCACCTAAACCTGTCCATAAGCCGAACACATTTTGCTTTTGCAAGAACAGCTACAAAGAATCTCTATAGGCTCCTCTTGTTCATGTGAATCTTTTATCTTTTTCTTTCTTTTTGTGTTATTTCATATATTACATTATATGTGGAGTAGCATGACAATGTCATACTATGTCATAAGCCACACATCTCGGCAACATCCACACGCTCATCCCTGCAGGAGAAGGAGAGAGGCTGCAGATGGGGTGCCCATGCAAAGAGTACCAGAGGCAACAGGCAACTAGAGGAAAGCCACCCAGGTACGAGTTGAGAGCAGGGTCCCAGGGCCCCTGGCACCCAGGATCCACCTGGCACCCAGCATCCGTCAGCACCTCCCCTGACAAGGGGAAGGTCCAGGCTAAGGGAGGGGCAGAGGCGTCCACTGGAAAGAGGCGACCATATCCCACCGGGACACACACACACACACACACACACACACACACACTACTTGTTCACTCACTCTCACCCACCCACTAGTGACACACAGAAAGACAAAGATATATGTGCACTCATAGACCCCCCCCCCCCCCCCAACTAAAAATACTCCAAACTTAAAAATATAAACACAATGTGTTTGTATTTTTAAGTTTTGAGTATTTTTAGTGGCAGTTTTCGAATTGTTCTGTAAGCATAACATTGACATCAGTAGTGAATATACCCTGACTTCAGCTCAAATAAGACCTCTCTGGTTCCTAAAGTCTTTTGGTAAAGAAGTTTTTTTCTTTTTTTCACAAAAAATATTAAAAAAGACATAAATCTAGCATAGTGTTATGTTGGCTAGTAAATAACAGGGGTGCAGGCAAATGTTTGGATCTAGATCTTTTGTGTGTGTTTTTTTCCTGCCTGTATTGTCCCTGATCATTTGTTGTTGTGGACAATATTGTGAGAAAAATACAATTTCAGACAAAAGCGAATACATAACACATTTATTTGAGGAAAGTTTGTTGTGCTCCGCATGTTTTTGTTTTGTTTTGTTTTGTTTTTGGCATCTTGCTACCTTAGGATTTTTATACTTCTAGTTGTTGAAATAAATGTTGTTTTTGTCAAGTAAACTAAAAAAATAACTGCATGAAAATGTACATTCTGATATGGGCAACAGAAACTATATTATTATTGTTATTATTATTATTGTTATTATTATTATTATTATTATTATTATTGTCTTTGTCTTCTGTATGATATCATATCTCTGTACCATGCTGCTTACTTCCGATATCCAATTTTGAAATATAATTCCTAATATAATTAAGTGCTTTGTTAATAGCAGTTATTGCAAGACAGATGATTTGATGTAAAACCACAAAATTATGTCAGATTGTATGAATTAAAAAAACAGTATCCTCTCAAACATGGCAAAAAACATTCATGGCATTTGTCTGTGAAGGTTCTCATGGCATTTACTAATGTGACATCCTGACACCTACTACCACATAAATAACAAAACTGAGGCTAATGTAGATGAAAAAGATATAAATTGACGGAAATTTAAAAAGCTTTAAAAATAAAATCAGTATGAATAAGTGCCAG